TCGTTATTATTTTTTCTCACGCTGCGCCTCCCCTGAAGCTCTCTGGCGCCCCCCAGGGGAGGCGCGCCTCACACTTTGAAAACCGCTGTACTAGGCCAAAATAGAGTCAAAGAGTATATGAGAGTGAGAGTGTGTTAATTAATATATTTGGCAGTTTGGAGTAAGTCTGTAGATTTGTTTGTGTGTGTGTGTTTCATGTATAGGCCTCTCACGATAATTAATTTTGTTGGATACATTTTCCCGGAAATTATTGCGATAAACGATAATATTGTCGGCACCGTTGTATGACCATTTTAGACCACTGACATAATGATAATATATAATAATAATTCAAGTACATCCTTTCAAACTGCTAGTCACATCCTCATGTAAATGGCAATTTATCAAGGTCAGAAAAGTTATCGAGTTCATTTTGATTTATCGTACGATAAGTCAATTAATTGCTTATCGCGACAGGCACACAATAAAACAGTGGAAACAAACATGTTTGACTTTCATTAGTGAATGAAACTGTGTGCCCTTTATAGTCTGTGTCCATTATTGTGTATTTGTATATATTGTATATATATCCTATATATATGCTAAGGTCCCGCTGCTGACACGATAGCAGTCATTTCGTGCGCATATGTGTAATTAAACCGAATTAAACCCATGATATCAAAATCTCACTCCAGCCAGGTACCCAAAGTTGGCAACCCTGTTGTAGATGGTGTTTTGTATTTGCAAACCACATTGTGTTTGTTAGTGAATCATAAGGCATTTGTAAAACCTGTTTAGTTTGTTTGTGGAGTTATGGCAGGAAATTAGCTCCATATTAATGGTACCACGGTCTTTAATAATTCAGCCCTGGGGCTCGGTACCCATCCCTACACATGACTGGCTCGGCGGCCACAGGTTGTTTATCCTTGACAGTCGCACAGTGGGCACACACTGAGAGTTTTCATATTCAGCACATGTGTACACGCTTCACTGCAGACCTCAAGAAGAAATAAGACTTTCGTTAACTCACGGCAAAACCTACTTTACTTACTAATTTACTCACGGTAAAAAAATGCACTCCCTATTCCATTGTCATGAAGGTGGAATCTAACTATATCCAGAATAAGTTTGATTGGATCCAGGCTAGAAACATGTTTATTTCTGCTGTAAAGTTGGGCATTTTAACATGGAGGTCTATGGGAATTGCTCCTTTCTGCATCCATCCCCTGTTGGCCACTAGAGGAACTGCAGTTTGTGGCACTTCCTTCTGGACTTCCCGGCTCTGCGCTATAACGCGCTGATTGGCTGTGGGTGGGCCAGACGTGCATGTGGGTGGGCCCAGGCCCACCCGGGCCCACCCACAGCTACGCCACTGCTGTAAACCAAGTTAAAGGTAACTTAAATTCTGATGAAATTGAAGTTATCGTTTGGCAAGTTTCCTAAAAATAGGAAGTGGATCTGCCTTATTCTGTTTGGTTTCATCTGCATTGAAACATGTGTGACAACCTCTCTCTGAATATATCAGACTGAATGATAAAATGGGGTTTTGAGCTTCTGTATGGGTGTCTTTGGAGGCACTGGTCCTGGGTCAGGAGGAAAGCTGTGGCTGCATTTACAGCCAATGAACAGTGTCATATTGTGTGTTTGTGTTTGGAGAAGGAGCGTCAGATCCCCTCAGAGTCCAGTCTGGTGATGTGAGTGTGTCCATACACAATGATCCTCTTCTATAATGTGTTGCCTCTGCTGGAATCCTCAGCCTCTGTAAATATTTATCCCTGCAGCTTTCTGGGGTACAAGCAGCTGAGCGACTTCTGGGAAGGTCTCAGAAGGCCCGGCCCGCAGCAGCAGCGATTAGTAGGTGTGTTTACATGAGGGGGGGCCTGGGACACAGATCTGTGAGGGGGAGGGGGAGACTTCTGACTCCTGGAGAGAGGTTAGATTCAGTCTGATCACAGGAAAGGCTTTATGTGATGCAGAGTTTCACTTTCTCTCAACCAGGAATCTTTTATTTGTCCCACATAGAGGACATTTGCCTTCTAGATTCTGGGTTATGTTAAAGAGCATGCATTGTGGTTCTCCACACGTTAGCCATGCCAGGTTTAAAATTACGTGTGCCTTAAAACATGCAATGTTCAAATACTGTATGTAACATAAAGTACCAATATATATTATTTTACGTAACAAGCCTAAATGGGGACATGTAATGTGAGTCACTCCGTTCACAAAAAGGGTCGATGAAATAACTAGGAATTAAATAAGATGGCTAGAGTCACAAAAAATGTATCCTTAAGTGCTTTTATTAACAGCCAAAACGCTGAAAGAACACAAAGTAACAAGGATGTACAGTCCAAAATAGAAAGAAAACAAACCTTAATATATATATATACAGGTCGAAGAAATATAACTGGTACCTCTCTGCTCTACAACCACAGTCAGACTAACCCCCAAATCACTTGTGGCCAGAGGTTTATATATGTTAAGCCCCTCCCCATAGGACAATCCACTATTTATACCCTTAATTACTGTTATTCTCATCATCTACAAACGTATTCAAAATGTAATTCAAACTAATTAAACACAATAAATCAAATAGGTCAACATATTCTACATTTCTGACCACAGAATCCTTAAACAATAACACTTTTAACACTTGGAAGAGAATTGTCACCCGTGCCCATGCACTACATGGTATGCTCCAATTGAGCACAGGTGTTTCCACTGATTGAGCCTCTACTTAAGGCTGCAGTTTTCTGTTGCTCTTTTTGGACCTCACAACCTTGAACAAGAGGGTAAGCAGGTTACTTTGGCACAGCATTGTTATGTACGACTTAAAATAAAGCTCTCTTGAACAAATAATGAATTGGGTTTTATTTGACCAATGTCCAGCAAAGTTATTAATGTGTTTCCTAGTGATGGCGAGATGAAGCCTTATGAAGCTTTGAAGCTTTCCAGCTAATTGGTTCGCAAAAGGGTTCATCTCATGAGGCTTCATCATGGGCTTCATCTGAACACAAACCCCCCTGTTGGTCAAAGTGTGTAAAACAGGCAGACATCTCAATAGTGTGCTCTATCTCATACCGAGTTCCCAATGAGTAAAGCCTTAGAATAACTCTAAACAACGAACATTAAATCATATGTTCATGTTAACAATATTGTTTTTATTCCAGTTGAATGATTGTGATTGAAAAGCCTAAGGAGGCTGGTAAACATTGCAAAGAGGGATTTGTATTCCTTAATAATATTCATAAACGTAACCATGTTGTAGCGTGAGAAAGGCTAAACCATATCAAAGACTACATTAACTACATTATCTCATTTAGCTGTAGCTTTTATAAACAACAAAAAAGACTTATTGACGAGTCATTGAACCAGGGACCCTGCGGTCGTGAGTCAACTGCTTTCCAGCTGAGCCACAGCCCGCACACTGAATCTCCCTGAAAACACTCCATCGTATTTATTCCTGTATTTATTCATGTTCCTACATTTATTTATGCTTGTATCTATTTATACTTATGACATGTTCCGACCTCTATATAAGTGAGGGTCTGAGCTCTTTTAATTCCATCGTGTCACCGAGCCCGGGTACAGGAGGGGTAATATGGTTCTTATTATACATCCATGGGTATTATGAGCGTTGTGGTTCAACGGTTCAACCAATCTGAATCACTTCCTGAAGCAGTCACGTGGTATCGACAGGCAGCGAGGCTTCGTTTGTCATCGATGACGTCACTGGCCCAAAACGATACAAGCCTCGATACAAGCTTCACAAAAAGCTTCGGGGATTACTCGACACACGCTCCGAAGCCTCGGCGCAATACGTAACATCACTAGTGTTTCCCTCCGTGTGCCTTTTACCATGCCCCATATGCCAACTGTGATGAAGGCGTCTTCTTCACACAGATGCTTTCAGATGCATTCATTTGGTTTTCGAGCCCACAAGTCAGAAATAGATTCTAGTAAAGTATATCTACAAATAACTTGTTGAAATTATTGAATTGAAAAAGCATTTAGTTGCACAACACTGTGCAGATGGTTGAGGCATGTTCATATTTTTTTTAAAGGACCATCCCATCACCATCACAACTATTAATATCTGAAACTATAATGTTCACTTGACCATTCTTTGCCTATCTTGGTTTTGAGTAATGTATGCTTGGTATGATCTCTTAATTCATTCCTAAAATGAGCTTCTGCAGACTTTAATGATGGAGTCACTGAGAAACTCTATGAAGGGGGTTAGTGAACTTCATGTCAGCAGTCATTTCTGTCAGAGTTGCATCAGCGTTTGTGAGGACTCTTCAGATTAACCGGCACTGATTACCATTACGCTCATCAACCATCTGCTGACTAACAGGATGACCTTTGAAGAAAACTGAAACGTTGACTTTGATTAAATGTAATATGTCAACAGATTTGCTAACTGTATTAGGTTAGTTGAAAGCAACAATATTAAGTTGATATGATTGCTTTCAACTAACCTAATCCAGTTATGTGAAATGTGTTGGGATAAACCATTTCATTAAAGCCTAGGTTCCAGTTTTTTCAGTGTAGTAATGATGCCAGCAAAAAAACATTTAAGTGCTCATTTATTGATCACTAAATAACGTATAATGAACTGGCCTTTTACTGTGTAGCCTCATTCTACTAAAACTTCAGCGTCCTTCTGTCTTGTCCTTTTAATCTCCAGAGTTTCACTCTCCTCACTCCATGCTCTCCTTTTGGAATAAAGTGAAACGCTCGTTGAAATGGGATTTTAAGCTTTGAGCAGCGTGCGCCTGCACTCCGCTCTGGAATGTGTCTCAGCTTTCTTTTCTTTTCCATGAGAGGAGGACAAAGGAGAGGAGATGGTCAAAGAAATCATGATGACTTTTGCAGACTCATCATGTCTGGTCTTGTTTACACTGGGGGGTTGTAAGACATATGCCAGCTGACTACTGCTAAGAGAACCCATCTTTACCACTGCACTTAAACTATTGTGCAGCTGCAAACAGTCTGTCCTCTGTCCCCTTCTCCCTCTGCAGGTCGTGTATTTTGGAGATAGCATGAGGTCGGATATGTTCCCTGCCAGCAGCTTTGGGAAGTGGGAGACAGTGATGATCGTGGAGGAAATGGAGGGGGAGGGCGTCCCGAAGAGTGACGCGGCGAAGTGTAATGAGGCCCAAGTGGAGCCGCTGGAGAAAAAGGGAAAGTTTGAGGTGAGTTCAGAGGAGCAGCTGTTTCCCTTTAGCAGTGACTGCTGCTCCTCTCTGCTGGAAGCCTCACCGGCCGCTAACACTCGTTCTCCAACTGTCTGCGGTCGTGTTGCATTGTGGGTAATGCAGACGCCAGGTTTTGACAAGGAAGAAAAATGTGTAAAATTAAAAAGGTGATATCTTTGGTTCTGCTGCTTCGATTTGAGCCTTTTTATTAAGTAACAGTGAGACCAACCGTGTTAAAAATAGTGCAGAGCTCAAAGGGTGCAGCCCTCCTGGGCAGAGGTGGGAAGTAACTAAGTACATTTACTCAAGTACTGAACCTAAGTACAAGTTTGAGATACTTTTACTTTACTTGAGTATTTCCATTGTATGCTACTTTGAACTTCTTCTCCTCTACAGTTCAGAGGTAAATGGTGTACTTTTACTCCACTACATGTATTTAATACCTTTAGTTACTTTACAGATCTGGATGAATGATGTGAAATATAATCAAATCAGACTTTAGTTCCACCTGGAGTAAATCCACAAGCTACCCTGCAGTATACAAAGTCATTCAAACTAGCTGCACCTTTACCAGCTTTGAGAACACTTTCATGATCAATCATTATAAAACATATCATATATATTATTCTGAAATGGACCAATCTGCACAATCACTACTTTTACTTTTGGTACTTTAAGTATATTTTGATGCTAATAGTTTTCTACTTTTACTTGAGTAACATTTTGAATGCAGTACTTTTACTGTAACAGAGTATTCCTATACTCTGGTACTTTTACTCAAGTACAAGATCTGAGTACTTCTCACCTCTGCTCCTGAGGTATATAATATGAATCAGTGATGCCCAAAGATTTGACATAATACCACCTCCTGCTGGTGGAGCCTCTCAGCAGCGAAACCATGCCGCGCCACACTAATTGCGCCGCATAAGCTCAGTTGAGGCTCCCTCCGCAAGATGAGGGCCCACGCAGTCTGCGTGATCTTCCTGTAGGGAGGGACGGCCCTGTTCCAATCTAATACACTTATGTGAACTATGTTGATTTAGTACATTTGATTAATGTCAACGTTTCAATTTGTTCAATGCATTACGATATGTTCTTTAATTATTTCTCCAATGTAAATGAACTGTGACATTTCCTTTGTTCTAAAAACAATTTGTTTACATTGGTAGCTTGTACGATTAATGCCAAACAACCATGGGGAAGTCTTATTTGAGTAATGTGTAGCAAAACCTTCAAATAGATTGAAATAAGCGTACGCATTACAGTGGCAGTGCAGAGGAGGCAGTCTGTTACTGATGTGTCTGATCCCTCTCATCTGGGTTGGATTAGTTCTGCTTTTTCTGCTGAAAGAAATTCCCCCGTCTTCTTTTTTGTTCTCCCTTCTCAAATATTATATTTATATATATTTGGTACAATCTCCATAACAACATGATCTAAATCTTTCAGATGTGTTTTCATCCTCTCTGAATACCATATAGCAGTTCCTGATGGCATCAGCTGATATTGTGCAAGGCACACATTTCTCACTGTGGTTTGTGAGGTTTCACTTCCTGCTGGCTAATCCTTGCTCATCATCTCTCTGTGTATGAAACTCATGTGATCATGTGATCATAGCTAACAACGCAGAGTCTCAGAACCAGAGGTGGGAAATGAAGTACAAATACTTTGTTAATGTACTTAAATCGATTTAATCGAAATTTTTCTCCACTATTTATTTTTCTGACAACTTATTACTTTTACTCCTCATTACTACTGTTTAACACAAATACCTGTACTTTCTACCTCTTACATTTTCATAACAGGTTTGTTACTTTAGTTTTAATCTGCATTTGGTGGCATGATCATTATTATTTAGAGTCATTGCGCACCTATTTCAAACGGTGCCAGTAGCCTACGAAGCTATTTCAACGGAGCTAGGCAGAAGCAGCAAGAAAAAGGGCTAATGTTGGGGAAGAGGAAGATGCAGGACTGAAATATTGACTTGAATTAAATATATTACATCAACACATTTCTGGAGAAACAGTTATTACAGTTATTTGACATAATACATTTACACTGAAAGAAAAACTGAAACGTTGACTTTAATTAAATGTATTATGTCAACAAATTAGACATAACTGTAAAAAAACAATATTACTTTTAATAAAAAATAATATGTTCAACTTAATACTATTACTTTCAACTAACTTCAGAGAGAGACAGGTGAAGTGAAGCGATATCGACTCGACTGAGAACAGAGACATCCTAATAACCCACGGCCATATATGAGGGAGATGTTCTATAAAACAGCTGGTAGTTATGGCTACTTTTTACTTAAGTACATTTCAAAGCCCATACTACTTTGACTTCAGTAAAAAAGTGTAGTCAGTACTTTTACCAGAGTATTTTTAAACACGGGAGTCTGTACTTCTACTTGACTGAAGGATGTGTGTACTCTTGCCCTCTCTGCTCAGAACTAATGATTCATGCAGTAGTCAGAAAAGCCCCAGAAAGCCGCCTGGGTTAAAGCCAGTTTGAAGTTTATATAGCTAAGGGTGGAATTCCTTCCTCCTTTTATCAGGTCTGCACATGTCCCAGAATGAATGTGAGCACAGTCTCAGTCAGGTGTGTGTGTCTCTGCAGGAGCAGGGCATGAAGGCTCCGTCTGACGTGTCCCAGCAGTGGGGCTCCTACTTCGTGGACTCACAAGGCAGCGGAGGGGGGGGCGAGGAGAGCCAGAAACTGACCTGGTGCTGCCACTGCATCCACAAATACAGCACCATGGCCATCCCCAGTGTGGAGCACATAGCAGGTATGTGGCTCCAGACACATCCCAGACATGTTGGATGGAGAAAGAGAGCCTACAACACGGTACAAATCATAATACCTGTAATCATTATAATAAACTTCAACAAAGTGATGCAAAGTCCAATACAACTTCAAAAGGGACGACAGAAAATGTGTTTAAGAGCCCAGAATGAAAACACTGCCATTTTAATCCAGTTATATGACATGTTAACAACTACAAAAGGACACTTAGTAGGAGACAGTAGAATCAACTTAAATATATATTATATAATAAAAGTGAACATGGACTTGGTGAAGCATATCTTCTCATGGAAAATCAGGAATCAAGTTGTGGCTCTTCCTGTACTTTCAAATGGATTTCATTAAATAAAGGATCCTTTCACTACACTGATGTCCCTCAGTTTATAAATAGTGTGACAAAAACTAACTCATATGTTATGTTCTTCAACCAAGCAATCAATACGGTTGCAAAAATGTCAGATGCAATTCCTCCTGCGCTGCGGGCCGTTCTGTAGAGCGAGGCAACGTGGCTGGAATGACTCATCACTACTCAGGATTAAAGAAAGAAATGACTTTAACACAATTCAGAACAACTACATGTTCGTCTGCTCGTGTGTGCATGTGTTGCTGGTACCCACAGCAGATGGGATTTATATCAGCAAATGTATTAAAAGAAGCTGAACAAAGCAGCTGAAGCTGAACAACACATATGTCCTGACAATGAAGTCAAAAGGCCAGTACTGCACTGGGTAAAGGACAAAGTGGTGGTGCTCTTAAAGGATAGGGTTGAGTAAGAATTATAAAACAAATATCATAAGATACATTCCTTTTCTATTTTAGAGTGGAGCATTCTTCCCTTACATGAATGTGAAATATCTGCAGAGGTTATTTATCGTTATTTGTGATGTTTAGTGCCATGTCGTTTTGGAGGCAAGAGGTCAAACGTCCTCTGGAGTGGACTCTTCATTATTAGCTGTTGCTTTCAGAATCAGAATCAGAATTGCTTTATGAGTCCCACAGGAGGACATGTACAGTGTTACAGCAAAAAGTGGCACAGCAGGTACAAAAAGGCATGGAATAATAAAGAATAATCTAACTTAAAATTAGAAGCACACATGAATCAGAATACATTGTTACAGCAAGTTAAGAGCCAAAGATAGCTTCATATTTAAGAAGCATGCATACACATATTAAAGATAAAAGTAGAATTACACCATTTACAAAATACACATCCAGCACCATAACAGTTGAGGTAGCGACCAGGTGATAGTATTAAAGGTGGAAGTATATTGCTTATATTGCTAGTATATATTAGTAATATAATGAAAATGAAGACATAAGTTTACATCCATGGCCAAAAATGAGGAGCAGCATTTGAACTAAGTGCCAGGTAACATATCAGCAGTGGTGCAGGTGGTCTGCATGGATAACCTGCTGTTGACTTTCCTGTATGACTTTCCTCTTCCAGATCTCCCTCTGGATTACAAGTTCCCCAGGTTTTCTCCGGACAAGCCCTGCACCACGGGCTACTACCCCCGGCCCCCGGATTCTTTGCTGAAGAGGTGCGAGAGTCTGTCATAAAAAAAGAAAAGAGGGAAAAAGTAAAAAAAAAAAAAGTAAAAGTCCTCCCTTGCCCCTCGCCTCAGGAGAGGAATGTCAGTTCCCCACCTGACCCCCGCCATCTGTGGAGCACAGGAAGCACCCCCCCCCCATTCAGAGAAACCATGTGAATGTAAGCCACAGTATCTCTGTAATAACGCCGACATTTCAACGTGGTTTTGTGGTTTAGTGTTTGTGGAAATACGACAATTAAAGTGTGTCTGCATTCAGTAGTAATAGGAAGTGTAGTGTTTATTGTTTTATGTGTGAGGCCATTATTATTTCCAATGGTAGATTGTTTTAAAATCTGAATTCAATAAGCTTTTCCATAATAAAGTGAACATTTGACCGTCTCTTTATCAGTGAAGTGATTACCTCAAAACGTTACCTTCGTCAGCTGTACCCAGACTGTCACTGTGTTTGTCCCTGAAATTCCTTCGGAGTCATTGTGTCAGTATTTCTGTTAATGTGAAGTACTTTCTAAAAATAGTTTCACTGTATGAATTTTGGTAACACAACGTTAGGTTTATGGTCTGCTGTTTCCCTGTGTGAGTCTCGTGGAAGGTGTTAATATTCAGGTCATTGTTGCTGAACAACTGGCACAATGCTGCTCTCTGTGTTGGCTGTTTCTAAAACACAACTTTGGGAAACTTTTCAAAATAATAATCATAATAATAATGGATGATAAAGACTATGCTAGATGTTCTCTGTATTATTTTTGGTGCAACAGTGACATGTGCTATTTGAGTGATTGTGTAAGATGTTGACTACTTGTGCTTCATTCATATGCAGTACTACATGGAGATATACTTACCGACGTCTGAATGGTGGTTTGGTCGGTGTGCATAGATAAGTTGTGCCATAATATTGAACAAAAGAATGTGGAGGTTTGCTTGTTTCTTTAGATCACTGACAATTGGTTTCACATTTGCCTCTGTGCTCTGGGAAATGTTTAGCCTAGCTTAGCACTGGACCACTGTTAGCCTCAGTCAGGAAAATACAACTTGTAACAAATACAATGAAATGTTATGCCCTATGTAGATAGCTTGTCAAAAAACAAACATGCGAGAACTCCAAGAGTCAGTTTGGTTTATTTGACAGAGTCAGGGGTGTGGGCAGATAAAGGGTTATCACTGCGTTCATAGTAACTGAGAACTACACAGGGACTCAGGTGTTCAACAGCAGGCTGGTTTGCTAAGGGGCCGGCCAGTGACCTATTTCCTCTTGTTAGTTTCAGAGAGATCACAACTAGGGTGGTCAGGTGTCGGCAGGTCACATGTGGGACAAAGAGTGTGTTTGTGCGGGACAATGAGGGAGATGTTACTGCGATGCTAAGAGCTAGTATAGATTTGAATATAATGTCCATCTAACCCTTAAAAATAAAAATGTCTATTGAAACTATTAATATTATATTGTAATATTAATTACACCGCTTTACTATAGGTTGATTTGTTTGAACAAAATATGCAAGTAAATGTATGATGGCGGGTGCTGCAGTGTGTACATTTGTTATTTCTGCTGCTGTTACCTTCTCTGTTTGGTAATCATCGTTTGGTTTTTCTTTATGAGCCTGGTATTGTGAGTTTCGCATGTAGTTAAAATCGTATTCACCTCCATGCGCGACTGGAAAAAAACCTCCAACTTACTGTGGGAATCGCCCTTCATAGGCTTCACTCATTGGTAAATACATATTTTGTTGCTTGATTGACATCTGACTCAGCTAATGGTGATAGTTCTCTTTTGGTTTCTAACAACCATTGGATAAAAGCCACGTTTGGACTTTCTGAGCGACTGTCAATCTAATGCTGGACATAGTCTCAATTTGTCTGTTGGTCAACCTTTTTTAAATGTATTTCATTAACAATACAACATGTAAATAAAACCAGTTCGATCGATTTTTCTTAGAGGTTTCGATGGAGCCTGACTGGCTTCTTGGCTAGCTGCTAGCTTGTTTGCTATACATGTTCTTTTAGCCTTTGTGCTAAGCTCGGCTAAACATCCCAACCCTATGATGAACACACAGAGGTCAATTCCTCATCTGGCTCTGAGGAGGTCACCAAACAAGAGAATTTCCCAAATGTCCTTTTTACATGGCCATCCTCTCACAAACTAGAAAGAAGCAGCACACAGCTTCAGTGTGTGTGAGGCCGGTCGTCCAGAGTGAGTATTACTTTGCTGAGTGTGCAAATGTTTTGTGCATACAGCTGTGGTGATTGTACTTTTCTTTCCTCACCTGAACAGGAACATTTGACATGCACATTTGCCTTATGTTGGAGTCATTTGTGGTCTTAAGTTCTTGGAAAACACAGGGAAAGGTACATTCTGTGTTCAAGTGTTGAAGTACTGTCAATGAAATAAAATGTTCAACAATTTTCTTACATAGAGTTCTCTTTGAGTTTTCTTTGCAAACAAAGACAGTGTTCTGTATTCACACACAGTACACATTCATTATTATACATCTGGGTAACACAGGTTTAAAGAGGAACACATGAAGCCAAGTATGAGACATGAGCCAGTTTTATGGTGATTCATTTCTGTAAATGGGAAGAGAAGCAAACAAGGACTTATTTTTGCACCATGTTCCCCATAGTCACAGGCTAATGCTTACTGTCAATTCTGTGCAGGAAATCCCCTCAGTGTATTGGATTGAGAAAGGGTGTTTTTATTTCTTATTGAATGCTGGACATTTACTTGTAATGAAGTATGTTATCATTAATGTATTGGTACTTTGACTCAAGTATAGAATGTGAATACTTCACACACTTACTGTAGCCAGAGGTGGGAGAAGTATTCAGATATTGTACTTAAGTAAAAGTAGTACGAGAGTGTAGGAATACTGTTACAATTAAAAGTCCTGTATTCAAAATGTTACTCAAGTAAAAGTAGAAAAGTATTAGCATCAAGATATAGTTAAAGTACCAAAAGTAAAAGTAGTCATTGTGCAGATTGGTCCATTTCAGAATAATATATATGATATGTTTTATAATGATTGATCATCAAAGTGTTCTCAAAGCTGGTAAAGGTGCAGCTAGTTTGAATGACTTTGTATACTGCAGGGTAGCTTGTGAATTTACTCCAGGTGGAACTAAAGTCTGATTTAACACTTGATTATATTTCACATCATTCATCCAGATCTGTAAAGTAACTAAAGGGATTAAATACATGTAGTGGAGGAAAAGTACACCATTTACCTCTGAACTGTAGTGGAGTAGAATTACAAAGTAGCAGAAAATGTAAATACTCAAGTACCTCAATATTGCACTTAAGTAGTAACTACTAGTAGTAGTAGTCGAGTACTTGAGTAGTTCATTTACACCAGGGGTGTCCAAACTATGGCCCGCGGACCATTTTGAATCGGCCCTCAGCAAATTCAAAGAGTATAATGGAATATGGCCCACAAATTAATCTTGTGCTTGTCTTATATTGTAAGCCTACTTCTTAAATATAAATGTAAAAATATATTACAGAGTAGTATTCATGTGTTAATAAGACCACTTCAATTAAAGTTGGAAACATTTTCTAACATATCTTAGTTGATAAGAAAAAAGCCCAATGACTTATTTACATAACAAGCTTGAAATACATCTTTCCTATTTCTCCTTATTATAATCAATCTGAGGCCTCTGTTTTAAGGATGAGCTCAGGGCCGGCCCTAGACATTTTGGTGCCCTAGGCGAGATTATGATTTGGTGCCCCCCCTCCAAGGAATACACAATAGAATATATAAAGAATAAATGAAAAATCTCTACAAAAGACCAATACACTACAAAAACTGAAACGTATTGACATATTGGTTATATACATAAAGGAGGTTTCAAATGTATTCATTATTGTATGAACATGTTTTAATTGGCGGGTGGACGTCACATCCTCTAGGGGGGTCCGGGGGTATGTCCCCCGGAAAGATTTTTTTAACATTTTAAAGTAAAATGCTTCAATCTGGTGCACTTTGAGCAGAATTACTAGAGACTAAATCTAGGGGGTACAACTCTAAAACACCCATATGAAAAAGATCGGTTTACATTTTAATAATCAAATAAGTAAGTGAACATAACCAATAACCCATAGCCAATAACAAATGAATGTAACGTATTTTATTTTTTGTTGTTCATTTATATCTTATTTTACCAAGTTGACATTTATTTATTCATGCATATTTTTTAATATCTCCAGTTTTAAACAATATTTTTGGTTTTCTGTCCTATAGTATGCATTGGAATGATTTCAAACCTGTTTTTATTTATCCCAATAATTATAAAGGTGTGCCTTGGAAATACTTGTTTACATAAATTGTGACCAAACCGTTTGAGTCCCACTGAGATAACTTAGACTAAAGTGAACTATCTAAACACTCAAGAGTCCTTTTTTACCTCACTGAGCTGTAGTTATCAGCCTCAATCCAACAACAATCCATGGTACCGATGCGCGCCCTCTCTCTCTCTCTTGCTCTTTTCTGTATGTGGCCCTCGGTTTGGACACCCCTGATTTACACCATTCAGCTCTGAAGCTCTGCTCACACCTCTTCATGTTACCTGTTAGCTTAGCACAGTGAGGGGGGGGGGGGGGGGCTGCTTCATTAAGCCTCTCTCTCTCTCTCTCTCTCTCTCTCTCTCTCTCTCTCTCTCTCTCTCTCTCTCTATCTCTCTCTCTCTCTCTCTCTCTCTCTCTCTCTCTCTCTCTCTCTCTCTCACTCTCTCTCTCCACCTCTCCCCCCCCCCCCCCCCAGCGGCCCCTCCTCACGCGCTAGCAGGACTCTCCCTCCGCTCTCTGTTTTCTCTCCCTCCCCTCTCTAACTTTGTTTCGTCCCTAAAACAAACTTCATCTCATCGTACTGATCTTCTCCAGAAGCTCCGCCGTGTTCCGGGCAGACATGGTCGCGGTGAGGCCGGGCTCCGGGTTCCTGAGCACCGCCTGTGACAGGTAAGCTTAGCGGGCTTTCCGTCACTTTTTTTCGGACTCGATGCGAACAAGGCTCCCTGTGTGCGGAGCGGAGGATTACTGAGCTGTCTGCGGTTAAATTCACTTCACTGTTTCACTCCACCACCCGCAGTCATATGAAGTAATCTTTAACTACTCTTTATAATGTATCTGACAGACCGGATTAAGGGAGAGTGTGCATAAAGTGTGTAAAAGGTAAAAAAGGGTCTCAGTGCCATGAAGGCATCCTCTCTGTGGAGGAGGAGGCTTTCTGTGGGAACAATCCTAACAATACCAGAGGTGGAAGAGGTATTCACATTCTTAACTTAACTAAAGTACCAGAGTTTAGGATTGGTATATTAATAATAAAAGTCCTGCATTCAATGTGTTACTCAAGTAAAAGTAGAAAGTATTAGCATCAAAATATAGTTAAAGTACCAAAGTAAAAGTAGTCATTGTGCAGATTGGTCCATTTCAGAAAGAAGCACTCATAACAGCAAATTACAGCAACATTGCTGCCACCTAATTTATTGTGAACCCGCTGGTGGTTTTAGTTACTTAAATATAATGTTGCATGGTTTCATAGATACCGAATAATCATATTTTAAAAGTTTTTCCTCAGAAATAGTAAAAAGTACTACATTTGCTTCCAAAATGTAGTGGAGTAGAAGTATACAGTAATATAAAATGAAAAAGTACCTCAAATGTGTACTTAAGTACAGTACTTGAGTAAATGTACTAGTAAGTAAGTAATCTTTAGCTACTTTTTGTAAATGTATGTGACAGAGTCAGCTTACAGTGTGTAAAAGGTGAAGCAGGGTCTCTATGTCGGGTGACAGTTCATACATTCATCTGTCATAATTTAATTGCTCTGCATTTTTACGAGTGGTCGTGGAAAGGCCTGAGGCAGGGACTCATCGTGATTCAAGTCTGCATCGCTCTGGGCAACACAATTACACCTTGCCTCTTTCTACTCATCTCACCATGTCCTTAAGATACGTAGACAGTAGCCAACATCACAGCCGAATCAGAACTCAGTCCAATAACACGAGTGAACGCAGCACACATTGAGTACTATTATGTAATATTAATAATAATAATAATAATAATAATAATAATAATAATAATAATAATAATAATAATAATAATAATAATACACTAAGAGTGATGTCTCACTTCCTGTACCATCTGGGTATGTTTGTTTTTACAATGAAACATCAGACTGATGTACTTGTACTTTAATGTGATTGATTGTATGCAAAACATTTTTGTATTAATTCTGAACCAAGGAAAGGTATGATTATTCGTCCTTATTTAACACCTATTGACACATTCCCATACTCTTTTAATACTTCTACAATGAGGTTTGACACTCTTCCCTATAAAAAACTTTCTTCATCACTTCTTTAGTACTGTAGTCCTTGCATTGTGGGGGAACATGTTCAGCTTCATTTGAAAAGGAATATCAATTTAGGGCTGCAACTAAGATTAATTATATTATCCACTTCTACTCTTGATGCTATATAATACACACTTAGAGTGCTACAGTAGTTAAGAAAATAATCGTTAAATAAGGACCTACGATTTAGTGTAAAACAAAGCATGTTAGTGTGAGATGGATAAGATGAGGTTTAATTCAGACTGACAGGCTTTCTCAGTAAAAATAGATCCTCCTGACACAGGCGCAGCTTTAGGGTGATAAATGAGTCCAGAGCTGCCCACCATCCTCATGTTCCCCACAGAGGCATGTAGGGTTCAAATGTCAAAAATGGACTTCTGGAGGCAGAGTTTCATGTACCAAACCTGAGCATTCTCTGTTTATCAAACACAGCTCAGCGTTACAGTGGACCTCAGTCTAGACGCTGTTGAAATCACTACCAAAGGGTTTCCAGCAGGCCTTACCCAACACCTCCACTCGGGTCATGGAATGTTCTCTCAGGGACTGTGTTATACATTACATTAGGAGGTTACATTACTCTCTCTCTTCTCTTGATCGCCCTCTCTCTTCTCTTGATCACCCTCTCTCTCTTCTCTTGATCGCCCTCTCTCTCTTCTCTTGATCGCCCTCTCTCTTCTCTTGATCGCCCTCTCTCTCTTCTCTTGATCGCCCTCTCTCTTCTCTTGATCGCCCTCTCTCTCTTCTCTTGATCACCCTCTCACTCTTCTATCACCCTCTCTCTCTTCTCTTGATCACCCTCTCTCTCTTCTCTTGATCGCCCTCTCTCTCTCCTCTTGATCGCCCTCTCTCTCTCCTCTTGATCGCCCTCTCTCTCTTCTCTTGATCACCCTCTCACTCTTCTATCACCCTCTCTCTTCTCTTGATCACCCTCTCTCTCTTCTCTTGATCGCCCTCTCTCTTCTCTTGATCGCCCTCTCTCTCTCTCCTCTTGATCACCCTCTCACTCTTCTATCACCCTGTGTGTGTGTGTGTGTGTGTGTGTGTGTGTGTGTGTGTGTGTGTGT